CTATTTATTTCAGAACCCCCTTCCCCTCCCCCAATTCTGATGAAGGGTCTAGGCCCGAAAAGCCAGCCTTCCTGCTCCTGTGATGCTGCTTGGCCTGCTGTGTTCATCCAGCTCTGCACCTTGTCATCTCAAGAAAGAAATATCTTGGTTTTTATAAAGTGTGTTTCACAATCTCAGTCAGGGAGAAACACTGCAATCAGTAAATAATTTTTGAAGTGCAGTCCCTGTTCAAAGGTACAAGCAATGATAAATACATTTTCAGAAAGTACATTGGAGATGAGAGAAGGAAAAAAAAAACTTGCAGATGGTGGAAATCTGAAAGAAAAATATGAAATGTTGGACATTCAGTATTTGAAAGTGAAAGCGACGTGGAAGTCCTGAACATCTATATCATTTGCTTGCCTTTCCTTTCCAGATGCTGACTGATGTGTATTTTGGACATCGTTTGCTTAGAGCACTGGCTCCCTCCTTACATTATATCGGAGAGCAGAGGTCTCCGTGGAATCATCAGCACATCCAGTCACCCAATCTGTACCAAGTAAAACACTGAACAGTGCCGCACTTTCAACTGAGCTAGAGATCAGCAAATTAATTGATAAAGTTGTCATTTTAAAAGTGCAAAACAATTACTGCACATGTTTTCCATGATTATTGGAGTCCATTGAGTATTGTTTCAAAATTCCAGGACAATTACTTAGTTATTTTCTAGTTTCAAGTTTGTGATATCCCTGAAGAGTGACACAGCTAACAATGGCAGTCACGCCATTAATGCTTTAGCCAGACATTTTCTACGTTTTGCAATAGTCTATGAGTATTATTTTAGTGTAGAATTGTTACAAATGTAGCCCTCAATTTAAAAACAATTTCTCACCTCCCACCCTTTCAGGATTTATGTACATTAAAGTGGAATGAAGATTCTGGGATGATGTCTATGTAATGCTAATAACTTCCATTATTTATAACTTCCAACAGTCACCCAGCTTTTCAATTGATTGGATATTATTAACAGTTTGCCACTTTTTTGGACAGCAGTAAATCAATTTCATATTTGAGCTCAATCTTATTTTCTTTCTTTGCTGAGGTTAGATCCACAGGCAGCAACAGCCCTCCAGTATATCATTTGACCGTGACAATCTGGATTTTGAGAAGATTTTTTGTGAATTGGTGTATTGGGTATATGGGGCGTTTTATTGGAGTTAGTTTGTAAAATGGTTTATTGGAGTTCAAAAGTGAAAGGGTTTATTAACTTGTGAAGGTGTTTATTGGGTTGGTGTATAGATTTGTGAAAAGGTCCTATTGGTTTTGTCAAGGTATTTATTGGAGCACAATATTGGGCATATAAGGGCTGCGTCAAACCTGATTTTAGTTCTACTTGTCTCTCACCTTAAATGACTATCAGATCTTATACAACATGTCTTGCCAAAGAAGTCATTCTCATCTCTGCTTTGAAATTGTCTATGATGGGAGCTTTCTAATTGCTGTACATCTATCTATACCTCTGCTTGTCTGGCACTAAATCTGCCATGTCATCTCAATAACTCTTCACTGCCCTGTTAGACTTTTATCAGACTTGACAATTGATTTCCACTCATCAGGCTCAACACAAGACAGAAAACCTTGTACAACACCCAAACCATAATGCACTAAGATTAATCTTATCGCCGCAATATTCATGGACCTACGTATTCCACTTTAATCACATTTCAAACACTTTTTCATCGTTTCTTTAAGGCAGTGATGAAAGAAGGCATGAATTCATCAGGGGCTAATGGGTCCTTGTTTGATACACTGTGAAACCAGAAATTACAGGGGCACCCTACAGCTTTGGACTTTGGGAACACTCTTAGTTCCTTGCTGCAGGTTATGTGTTGCTGTGGCTAATTCCTTCTTAGGTTTGATTGTACTCAAGGCATAAACTTGTGTTTACTTTGGCAGCAACAAACCTTTCCCTGTGGCAAATGATTGTTTGAAAGACATTAAAACTGAACACTGAATTGTCACTGACTTATTTTAAAGCCCAGCTCTGTGTGTATCCTCGAATCTTCCTGTTTACTATGCCCTCTTTCTCTTTCGTTCTTCCAAGGACCAGTTGTTATTTTAGGGTAAAATGTTTCGTAATCCCTGAATTTGCACTGCTTTCAAAAAGTTTTCAAATCTAGAGTGGTTGGTTACTCCTGTGAAAATGGCAGAGGAAATTTTTTTGTTGTTGACATCAGTGTGAGAAAACAGACCTAGTTTCACAGCGTTGTTTTTTGCCAGTTTCAATTGCCAGTGCTCCAGATTGGGATTTGACTAATGGTGCATTTGCCAAATCAGAAGTTTGTTTACATGTCATCCCCAATACCTCATGTGGGTTTGATCAAGAGTAAAGTAAAATCTACTGCTGAACTATCTAGAGCAGATTAGGTAGAGAGAAAAAAGATTAGAAATCCTGCTTTGGTTTGATCTGTTTGATGAATTTGTGCTCCCATCTTCTGGATGGACACAGGATTCTTAAAATGTCGATGAGCATTTCTTGCTTCAGAGACAGAAACCCATCACCACCTGTCACAACACCGCTATTTTGTCTCCGTAATCTAGTTGGTGAAATGATACGACTGCATTAATGAAAGAAACTTTGACCTTGGGCCTGGCATGGAGTTTTGACCTGATCTACTTTCACTTTAACAGGCACATAGTTGTGTGTGGACACATCACACTGGAGAGTGTTTCCAATTTTTTAAAGGACTTCTTGCACAAGGACAGGGATGATGTGAACGTTGAAATAGTCTTTCTACACAAGTAAGTAAAGTTTTGATTTGCTTTGGAACAATAATGTGCAGAGATGCCACAATTGTTTGCAATATTCTATGATTGTGCTCAGTTTGTGCCCTGTCCAAAGCTTAATACTGGAAGAAAGAAAAAAACATGTATGAAGTTATTTGTGTTGACACCTGTAAAATGGGGGTGAGAGAGGAACTGCATCCTTCTATTGCACCAGTGTGGAATGTGATCATATTGTTGTGTTCTTGTCCAGTTTAAAAAGCCCACTGTCTGGAAAGTGCAAAATCCAGCAATTACAAGAAAGCCAATTCAAACTGGTGGCTTTAGAAGTATAGTCAGTGCACAGCAAAGTTTTCAGCTAACCCTGATTGTGGTACTGGTTGGAGAATCATCCCTGAGTTCAGGTGGAAAAATGTCAGCCACAATCTGTCAGCTTGATTATTTTCCCATAACTGCTCTTGGAAAGTGTAATTGTGTGGGAATTGGAATGGACTTGATGACATGCCTTACCCATACTCACTGTCCTGCTCACATGAACAATGTAACTCCTTATTCCTGATCCCTTCCATACTCAGCTTCCATGCAGTGTAAGTTTTTGAGAAAATTGGAAAGACAAAGGAAATGTTGACATATCTATGATTTTCCAAATCATTCTACATGCTTTTAAGGATTGTACTAATAAACATCGATACAATATGGAAGAGCTTCCCAGCCACTGAAGTTCCATTCATTGTTTCCCAATTTAGTGTCCTTTTACTATATCATGAAACAAACTATGGGGAAAATATCCCTGTAAATCTGATATTAAAATCAAAAGATGTGGCAACACACAACACTCGGAATGGAAAAGGATGAGTTAGTGTGTCACAAGAGTCCATGCTAGAACACTAGACCGTGATGAGGCTAAAGTTGCACTCATAGATCCAAGGGTCATTTGTAGTATCATTGCTATCTCAGTGGCGATCAGCTGACTTAGCACAGTCTAGTCATCAAACTGAAGATTGAGACCCTATCCCTGTGCCATTATTAACATGAAGCCCATTTAATCAAAGGTCTCCTGTTTGTGTGATACCATACGAGGGGAGGCAATGGCCTTGTGGTAATATTGCTGGACTGTTAATCCAGAGACCCAGATAATGTTCTGGGGCCCTGGGTTCACATCCCACTACAGCAGATTTGAATTTGAATTTGAATTCAATAAACTTCTGGAATTAAGAATCTAATGATGACCATGAATCGATTGTTGGAAAAACTCATCTGCCTCACTAATGTCCTTTAGGGAAGGAAACTGCCATCCTTACCTGGTCTGGCCTACATGTGACTCCAGACCCACAGCAATGTGGTTGGCTCTTAACTGCCCTCTGGGCAATTAGGGATGGGCACTAAACGCTATCTAGCCAGCAACACCCTCATCCTGTGAATGAATAAAAAAAATACCAGATCTCCTACCTCTGAGATCTTCTCTCACCTGCAATGTTTTAAGACCTCTACATTCCTTCATTTCAACGTCATACACTTTTCCCTCCACAATTGATACATGGGGCTCCAAGATCTGAAATTCCCTTGGCAGGCTTTTCCATCCCTACTTGAGGATGCACCTCAAAATCTGTCTCTTTGACAAAGTTTTGGCCCACCTGTCTTTGTATCCTGTTAAAAGACTTGGTGTCAAAATGTGTTGGTAATCACTCACCTGAAATGCCTTTGGTGTTATATAATGCAAGTTGTTGTTGAAAAAGACATGGGGAATGTTAAGCTAGAGTATGTCTACTGGAATAAAACATCTTTTTAAACAACGTCGCTGCTTCATCTCATTTTAGAAATGAAGGTAAATAGGTTAGCATGACTAGCTTTCGCTGGACCACAGTGAGCTATGTTATTGATAGCAGTGATGATTTGATTCATTGCCTGTGGTTCTAGTCTTCTGTTCTCTGGATTAGCACATCAGCAGGGGAGCTGAGCAATTCACTCACTTCATCCCAGCAGCATCTGTAGCTGCTGATTTTCTTAAGCTGGATGTGGATCGTAATAATGTAAAATGATCCCAGGAGCTCCATCAAAGGCTACGCAAGACTAAGCAGTGAGTAAGTAAGCCACGCAGACTAGAAACATCCAAGGCCAACTCCCCTTGTACCAAACTCCTTTTCCCACTGGCTTATCCTGCTGCGTGGGATTATCATGCCTGTGCTCAAGATCTGGCTTCAGTCCAACTTGGATAAGGCAGAGACAGCTCAGTCCAGGTGACTCCCTGAGTAGTGAACGCTGTTGGAAATTTTGTACTTGTGACGATTGAGTAACAGTGGAATCTGATTTGGTTGTGATACACTTAAGAGAAGAATAGTCCATAAACACTTCTTGTCCAATTGGCATGTTAATGGTGGCTGTTCAGATTTGCAACACCTCTGGGTGCACAGCATTAATGGAGCCATACATGAGCTGAAAGTCGGTGTCTTTCTGGAAGGAGTGGGAGGGGAATAGCTATCGTATGACTAAGACGTTTTTTAGGAAGATGATGCTGAACCATACCAACTTCCAGCATTTGCACACCAAGCCCATAATTGGAGAAAATATTTTAAAAATCTTATTTCCTAGAAAAGACTTGTTTACTCAGTCAATCTTTTGTAGCCTAGTTGAGGATCAATCCTAATCATTTTCAACATTATTTAATAAACTAGTAACACTCTGTATTTTTCCATGGAGCCTGTAGACGGCATTAACTCAGTTCCCCTTTGAATCTGACTTTGAAAACGGTCAGAGGATTTAGAAATCACAATATTCCTTTTACTTAGTCATTCGAACACGTGAGTTAGGAGCAGGAGCAGGCCATTTAGCACTTTGAGCCTGCTTTGCTTGATCTGGTTGCACCTCAGTTCTACATTGCTGCTTACTGTCAATAACCTTTCAGGTCTATGTATATTTTTTGAAGATCCCTCTATTAATTTTCCAAGTTTCCGTCACTTCAGTGATTTGTGCCATTCTCTAGTTGAGGACTCGGCCAGTCATTTACTTGTATCCCTGAGACTTGACAGGATGTGATGGAGAAACAGCCCGGGATAACATGATTACCCGATTCCCTCTGGGCCATGGCGGGGAAGGGACTTACCCCAGTCCACAGTGGCCCCAAGAAGTCAGGCTGTATCTCAGGGATCTGCAAGAAGGGAACCGTGAAATGCAAACTTTTATCCATCATCTTGGTAACACCGTTCATCAATTCCAAGCACTTGCGCCTTGTGTTGAGTTAGACTATAGGCTTTAGAAAAAATTCTTCTTGCTGTCATTGTGAGGCTCCAAGTTTTAATCACAGGCACTTGGTCATATTTGGAAAGCAGAATCTCTCATGAATGTTTCAAGAAGCCGATGAAATGTGTCAAGTGTGAGATGTTACTTTGATCACTATTGAGTGCATTTTTCGCAGGCCCCAAAACAGAAGAGGGAGGGAAAATTAAAACAATCCACCTGAAATGAATATGTTCTAGAGAAGCAAATTTTTATTGAAGTCATGTTTTTGCCTTTGTAAAACCCATCAGGGTTTGTGGAAGATACATTTCTCTTTTTCTTCCCTGGGAGGGTGTTTTAGAGAAATGAGTTTGGGGTATTGTAACCCATTCTCTAACCTGGTCTCCTCATGCTCATGATTTCACCATTGAAAGTGTAAGTGCAGAAAATTATTCTCCACAGAAAGGTAGTGAAATCTCTTGTTAGCAATAATTCTTGAAGCTTCTTAGAGCTCTGCCAATGGGTTGTCAGAACCTGCTCTTATTTGATTTAGAGGCTAAGGTAGATAGGGGACATTGTTCCTAGTGGCAGGGATATCAGGATAATGATCGGAGGACCTGAATTTAAAATAATTGACAAAAAAGCCAGGGCAGGCGCGAATTATATTTTTGATGTAGCAAGTTATGAGCAAGAATGCATTGCCTGAGAGGCTGATGAAAATAGATGCAATAGTAACTTTCAAAAGGGGATTAGATACATCTTCAAAAAGGTAAACAGTACAAAGATGTGGGGAAGGAGCAGGGAACTGAGATTACTTAGTAGTTTATTCAGAAACTTGGCGCAGATACAATGGGCTGTGATCTCCTTGTTGTGTAATTATGTCACATCCCATTCGAATATGATCATATGTTCTATAAAGTCTCCAGTTGCGTGGCTTACATGAAAGGTTCATTACACCCACCACCTGTGCTATGCAAGGTGTGGTCGGCAGATCCAAGTTGCTCTGCTAGCTAAGGGTTCCACGTTGCCTAGTGACAAAAGCATTTTGCATTTCAGCCAGGTAGCGTTACATGTTTGATTATAGGATGAATGGCCTTATTCCTAACATTAGAAGTAGCCCAACATTGTATTTCAGCACCCAGCAACCTCTGAAATGTTGTTCTGCATTGGGTCCAAGCAACAAGAACTTGCATTTATATAGCACCTTTAACATCATAAAATGCCTCAAGGTGTAGCCCAGAAAAAAGATTTAATAGTGGGACACACAATAAGATTAGAACAGGCAAATAAAATCTCTGTCAAAGAGGTAGACATTGGGAAATGTCTTAAAAATATGAGTCTTGGTCATGGAAGTAAGGTAAGAGGCTCAACTCTCAATCTCAGTAATGCTGGGGTTTAGATCAGTGTGGTAATCTCTGGGTTAACTTGTCACTTCTTATTAAATTCATCCAAAATGCATTTGTATTAACATTATTATAATAACATATGATCCATTATCACTGGTTGTATTTCCCTTGTCTAAACTTATGCCTGTGTTTTGTTGAAAGAATTGCTGCTGACTGTTTCAATTTGTTTTTGTCTCGACAGTATTTCCCCTAACCTTGAGCTTGAAGCCCTTTTTAAAAGACATTTTACTCAGGTGGAATTCTTCCAAGGTTCTGTCCTGAACCCTCACGATCTAGCCAGAGTCAAGGTAATCCTGTATCCTTTTTCTGACTTTACTGCCTTGAGTGCTATGATATGATGAATTCTTATATCTCAGCCAGGGCAGTAAAGTTTGCTTAAAGTCAGAAAAGGTTCCGTTCCACACGTCAACCCTGGTTTCTAATTTATCAGCTGCTCTTTTTCAAAGCCACTGTGGCTAGATGTGCTTTTTCACTTTGTTTAGAAAGCTGCATCTCATTTAGTGTAAGAAAATCTACGCGGTATGTAAGATGCAGTGAAACAGAACCCAGGATCACATACAACTGAGGATCAATAGCACAGCCTTTGTCTATTGATGACACCCAGAGGCTATTGGGATTGGAAAGCCTTGAAGCTCACTGTAGCTATTCCTGCTGATTATATCTGGGTGTAATTATAAAAAAGTTACACAAAGCTGCCTTGTGTTTCAGGGATGTATCTCCACCCTCAGGTTCTTCAGAGGCACAAATAAGTGACAATAGCCCAGAGATGGCAGGATTCAGGCATCTCATGGCATGCCCTCTTAGATTTATTTCCGTCACCCTTCAGCTTAAAATTGAGGAGGGACAGGTTATGGAAATGGTATGTAGATTTTGAAAGCCTCTAACAACAACTTTTTTTACATATGGGAATGCAACTCCAAAGTTTCAGTTTCTGAAGAGGCTGAGTGGCATTACAAGAACACACATCTTGCCCTTAACAGAGTCCTTGCATCTCTAAGCATCAGATCTAGCTTCTTCGGGAGCTTTCTGAGCAAATGCTACAATTACCTGAAACTCATGCTAGACTTTTTTTCAAAACTGACAGCAAATCAGTTCAAGTTGTCCAGAGAATTGTGGTGATTCGCAACTCACGACATTTCTGTTCCCTTGCTAGTTGCTACATTATGTACACACTAATAACAGATTGTTCATTAAACTCACTGTTATTTTTGCAGCCAATCCTGGACCAATATAAACTCTAGGCAATTGGATGTCTTTGCAGCCATCAACTGCAATAATAATAGTGTACCACTTGATTTCTACTGGGCTGATACTGGGTTTAGTTTCTACTCTATATCTGCAATCTTGGAGTTATGTTAAAATTCACTCCAGGCTGGTGAAATCAAAATCTTGTCTCTGAGCGATGGAAGGATCCCGAAATGTGTCTCAGATCATCTTGACCCACTGCTAACAGTCATAGATCCGAAACACAAAACTGCAAAGATCTTGGGAGAAATTACAATGAAATGGGTAATTTTATTTAGAGCTGCGGCATTGGTGGCTGAGTGAATTTGTCATACTTGTGTATCAGTGCCTTTCTCTTCATTTACGTTGTTGGTGCTCAGTATAGAAAGGGTATTCTGGTGATATCTTTGCAAAACAAAAACACTTGTGTATACAGCATTGAGTCTGGTATAGTAGTAAAACTAGTTTAATCTGGTTTGGGTTTATACATATATGAATGGCCACAAGAAGGTGCTGATACACACCTCCCACAATTAATAATATACAAAATACTTGGAATGTACACATGTATATTTCTTGTCTTGCATTTACTGATAAATAAAAGTTAACCCTTGGTTTTCTATTTCTAAAGGTCTTCCTCCTTTCCTGAGAAACTTTTGGGTGCCTCATACAGTTCAGGGCCTGTTTCAGTCCAAAGTATTGCCTTGTTCCTTTCTCCAGCTGTCTGGTTGACAGCTGCATTATCAGGATCTCTGAGGATATTGTTAACAATGAAAAACATCTCTGGCTGCTCAGCACATGCACCCAAAAGACTTTCGATCATGGCTGTACTCCCCCATTCACCCAATAATACCGATTGATGCAGCCATTTTTTTGAAGCCCATTTTACCCATGTGTACCGCACAATTTTATCTAGTCTGATCTTTAAGCTTGTCTGTTACAGAGAGAGCTCTTTTAAGTTCCCCTGGAGGTTTGCTGTTAGTTTCTCCAACCCAAATTTGTTTGGGTAGGGAAACCACAATCTCACCCTCTTTGCAAGACTGTGACATTATTCCAGTTTAAAAGTAGTCATGGAGACCGGTGCAAAAGTAAAACTAGTTTAATTCAATTTGGCTTTTACGTTGTATGCATGTCCATACATAGACACATATACAAATGACCACAAGAGGGTGCTATTAGAACGCAGTACTCAGATGCCTTTTCCCTGTGAATACTAAATACCAACACTGACTGAAAATGTAAAAATATGTACAACAAGCATTTCTGATCGGTGAATTCCTTAACTAAATTTGAAAGTGTAATAAATGAGTGTTCAATTAGGCCAAACTACTCTGAGTGAACAACAATTTCGGTCTATTAGAATTCTCCCTGCTTTTTATTCATTTACATAACATGCAAACATCATTATCTACTGCTGCCAAGACATTTTTCCAGCCCGTTAGAGACTTGTTGATGTCTAAGGTGAGTCAGTAATGGCTGTCTGTACAAGCATCATTCTAAACACCTCTCTCTGTGAAGCAGTCCCCCAGCTTTCAATTTCCCCTTTCGGCCAACCAATGCCATGCATACCGTTGGCTAAATTATCTGCAAAGGTCACAGAGTTACAACTTGATTTCCTGTTAAGTGTTGGAGCCTATCAATGAGCAGCAGCAGTAAGACACTGGTGTGTGTGTGTTAAATGAGTGCTTTTCTGCCCTAATATGAGGAACGGGATTGCTTGGGATATGAATAATCCTCTGTGAAGAACCCAAGATTTGTCATTTGTAAATGGCATTTCATTTTAACATTTTGTAAAAATGATTTGATTAGAATAACATTTTATTTTCACCCTTTTCTTTCATACAGCTTTCAAAACTTGACAAATAAGCGAGTGGTTATGATTAAACTCAATTTGGGTTAAAATTTATTGAGATGTGTACAGTCTAGTTAAGTAAAATGTTTTGAATATCAGGTTATTGAATTGTCTTTGAATTTGACTTATTGAGTTTTCCTTCTGATCCATGCCTTTCATTGGCTTTTCATGTTTTGCCGTGTCTCAGATAGAGTCATCAGATGCATGTCTAATTCTGGCAAACAAATACTGCCCCGATCCTGATGCTGAAGATGCCTCGAATATTATGAGGTAAGAGTGGAGGATGGAACAGAGCGCAGCCTCATATCTTACAGAGTGATAAGGCCCCAGGGGGTGTTCAGAGATTCTCCAATTGTGTGTGCTGTACTCATGTGAGTGACAAAGACGGATCAGTTGTACCACTTCCCTTCATTTGACATGGCCCAACCGAAAATTTCAAGACAAAATCTCCTTCAAAACTATCTTCAAATTTTTAACTTCAAGAATAATTTTCATTGCTGTCTTTGAAGGATAGTAATTTAATTAAGATCAGCAGCACTAACCTGGGGAACTAAGGAGCGACTGCAGCCTAATGAATGAGGAAGGAACAGTCAGGTTGACTGGGTGAGATGTAGTAGGGTGGGAGAGACTCGTCTACAGTGAAAACATCAGCACAGAGCTGATGAGCACTCAGCGTATTTTGATGCAAAGGTGAGTGGACTAAGCAAATTATGAAGGAGTCAGAAATGGACAGGCTATAGGGAACTAGATATGTAGGAGCGGAGAGGCAGCTGACGTTCCAGCAATTGGGCAGGAGAGGAGGCAGACAGGAAGCAAGGGAGATGTTGGGGAGACAATAGTGGCATGCGTTAGTTTTATTCTCCTCAGGTGTCCTTACAATTGTGAATAATGTCACATTCAGGAACAAAAAGACTTTATAAGCATCTCTTGATGTTTTAACAATGGCAATCTACCTGACATCACCTGTTTTACACCATAGAAATGAAATGATCTCCATTGTGTTTCTATCTCATATAAGCTGCACTGAATTTTACATTCTGTTCCAGCCTAATGTTAACACAAACAAAAGCCCGAGTTTGCTGAAAAAGATTTTTAAAATACTTTTGTGTGTCGTATTTTAAAACGTAATTTGTTTAGCAGTATGTTTGAGGAGTATAATTGCAAACTGTTATCAGGATTGGATCGAACTGCGTTGTGGTGCACAAAGAAATCATCACAAATGAATCACCTGGGGTCAGGATTTCTATTTCTGCACTGAAAATGACACTGGATATCTGTCGTGCTCAGCTGTTTGCCACCAGCGGACAGCAGTGAGGGACGTGTGTCACGGGCGGACAGCAGTGAGGGGCGTGTGACACGGGCGGACAGCAGTGAGGGACGTGTGTCATGGGCGGTCAGCAGTCAGGGGCGTGTGACACGGGCGGACAGCAGTGAGGGGCGTGTGACACGGGCGGGCAGCAGTGAGGGGCGTGTGACACGGGTGGACAGCAGTGAGGGGCGTGTGTCACCAGCACTGGGCGATGTAGTTTCTGTCATGACCAGGGACCAGTGCTATCTGTTACAAATTATGTAGGAGTATGGAGAAGACTTTGTTTGTTTATTAATTCCTGCATCTGAACAAAAGTCTTTTACAGGCTATTTTTCAACTGGGATTTTGAAAAGTTTTGCTGCAGGAAATGTCCAGACACATATAATAGATAAACACAATCTGGAAAGTATATATCATCTCAACCACTTTGGTAAAAGCATTGACAGTCTTCGTGATGTTGTGTCTACAATATATATTACAATGAAAGCAAGGAAGGAGCTAGGCATTGGTACAAAGATGTGGCCTAGCTACAGCAGAGGCCTAGATGTCCTCTCTTACCCACTCATGAAAGCTACCGTGTAACTGATCGCTGACTTCAGGGGTGAAGATTAATAGTCTGGTCAGATGAGGAATAACATTAACTCTCTGAGGGAAGGGTACCATCAGAAATAATACAAAATTAAAGAGATGCAACTCCTAATCACAGAAGAGGTTGCAGGAAAGATTTGAGTGTCACTCTCTCACTCTGGGAGGAAGTGAGGTTTGACACAGTGATAATTTTAAAAAAAATCTGTTCTTGTGTTGGGCCAGTGTTTACTGTCTGTCTCTCATTGCTTGATCCAAATAGGTGAATTTCAGAGGGCAGTTATAAGTAAACCTCATTCTGATGGTTCTGGAGCCACATGTATGGTCAGATAAGGATGGCAGGTTTGTTTCCCTAAAGGACATTAGTGAATCAGAGGAGTTTTTTTTGCAACATTTGGTAATGGTTGCCATTAGGCTAACATTTTCTTTTTCATTCCAGATTTTTATTGAATTCAAATGTCAGTGTTTACCAATGGCATTTGAACTCAGGCCCAAGAACATTAACCTGAGCTTCTGGATTACTAGCCCAGTGACATTACCTGCCTCCTCTTAACAGCTCTGGACTAGTAACCCTGGCTAGTATTCTGAAGACATGGTTTGAATCACACCATGGCAGAGGCTGACATTTGAGTTAAAGAAAACATCGGGAATAAAAAGCTAGTTTAACGGTGATCATGTAACAACTGGCAGTTGTAAAAATCCTTATTTTTTTCAAAAATATGCTTTATTCATGAAAAATATTTACATGCATAATAGTCAGTAAAGAGTTTTGTTCTCTACAGTCTTTGGAGAAACAAACAAACATTAGAGTTTGACCTTTCTGACAGTTCCAACAGGCCAGTTCAAAGCCATTTCTTAGTTATGCAAGATACTACTTACATATATTTGAGGCACCAAGAAGATCCAATAACTGAACGGACCCCCATTGTGCTTTGGTGAAAAGTCATTTAGATCGTGGTCTTTACCCACTGCGCCTTGGCAGCAGCTGCCCCAAGCTTTAGAGTGTCCCTCAGCATGTAGTCCTGGACCTTGGAATGTGCCAGTCTCCAACACTCAGTCCAGATCAACTCCTTGCTTTGGAAGACCAACAAGAACTAAAGAGCGTCTTTCACTGAGTTAATGGCCCTCCAGGCATTGTGGATGTTTGTCTCAGTGTGCATCCTGGGGAACATCACGGAGCTGCTTGGGATGAACCACTGCATCTTTCTCCAGACTTTCTTTGCAAAGACACATTCCAGCGGGAGATGTGTGACAGTCTCTACTGTTTCCTCCCCACCCCCAACGCAGCTGCTTTGAGGCAGTGTGCGATGGCGTACAGAGCCCAGGCGTGCATGAAGGATCTCTAAGGTAGTGCCCTTCTCATCACCAGCCAAACGATGCCATGGTGCTTTTTGGAAAGTTCTATTGAGTTGTTTTAAAATCCATCTGGTTCACTTATGTTCTTTAGGGAAGGAAATCTGCTGTCCTTACTTAGTCTGACCTATATGTGACTCCAGACTCATAACAATGTGGTTGACTGTTAAATGCCCACTGGGCAGGTGGTGATGATAGTAAATGCTGGAACTAGCCAATGAAGCCCACATCCCAGGAATGAATTAATTTAATTAACAATTCTACATCTATAACTTTGGCAGAAGTATCTGTGTAAATGAATTTTGTACTAAGGTTACAGCACCACCATGGGAAAAGACACAGGAAAATGCACCTTATTTTATGACCACGTTTGCTCTGTTGAGTGGTGCGTTTAAAACTATGTTGTGTAATCCCGTATACAACCGGCTGGTGGTGAATAATCCAAAAGGTACTGTAATCGTTCCCACTGAGACATAGAGGAAAATAGAAACAAAGAAGATAGGAACGGGAGGAGGCCATTTGGCCTTTAGAGCCTGCTCCGCCATTCATCGGGATCATGGCTGATCGTCCAACTCAATAGCTAATCCTGCTTTCTCCCCACAACCTTTGATCCCATTCACCCCAAGTGCTATATCTAGCTGCCTCTTGAATACTTCCAATGTTTTGGCATCAAGTATTTTCTGTGGTAATGAATTCCACAGGCTCACCACTTTTTGGGTGAAGAAATGTCTCCTCATCTCCATCCTAAATGGTCGACCCCAAATCCTCAGATTGTGACCCCTTGTTCTGGATACACCCACCATCGGAAACATCCTTCCTGCATCTACCCTGCCCAGTCCTGTTAGAATTTTGTAAGTCTGTCTGAGATGCCCCCGATTCATCTGAATTCCAACGAAAACAATCTTTACCTAGCCAACCTCTCCTCATAACGTCAGGCCCACCATCCCTGGAATCAGCCTGGTAAACCTCCGCTGCACTCCCTCGAGAGCAAGAGTGTCCTTCCTCAGAAAAGGAGACCAAAGCAGCACACGATATTCTAGGTGTAGCCTTACCAAGGCCCTGTATAACTGCAACAACACATCCCTGCTCCTGTACTAAAAACCTCTCACAATGAAGGCCAATGTACCATTTGCCGCCTTTACCGTTTCAGAAACCGTCAGTCATGATGTTATTGTTGAAAAGGTGCAAGAGTCCTATTCCTGT